TATTCATCAGAGAGAGAGAGAGAGAGAGGCAGAGACACAGGCAGAGAGAGAAGCAGGCTCCATGCAGGGAGCCCAACGTGGGACTCGATCCATGATCTTCAGGATCACACCCTCGGCTGAAGGCAGCGCTAAACCGCTGAGCCACCCGGGCTGCCCTGGACTCAATTTTTGAAAGAAATTCTGCTGTGAGTAAAATGCTATCCAACGATATTGCATCCTACAGAGAAATCATTCATGAAGGGAATAGTCAGACTATGTGGCCGACTTCATTGTTGTCTTATTTAAAGAAATCGCCACAGCTACCCCAGCCTCCAGCAAGCAGCACCCTGATCAGTCAGCAGCCATCAGCGCTGAGGCAGCACCCTTCACCAGCTAAAAAATTATGACTGAAAGCTCATATGATGGTTAGCAATTTTTTTAGCAATAAACTATTTTAAGGTATATTTTTTTAGACATAATCTTATTGCATACTTAATAGGCTACAGTATAGTGTAAATGTGACTTTTATATGCCCTCAGAAACCAAAATATTAATTTGAGTCACCTTATTGTGACTTGCTTTATTGTGGTTGTTTGGAACCTGCAATATATCTGAAGTATGCCTGTATAATTTTATCATTCTTCATAATGAAAGATTCAAAAATAAGTTTATAGTCTGGTATTCTCAGGTAAATTCATTTTAAAAATAAAGCAAATCATGTTTCCTTTTTCTATTAACATTTCTTAAATGAATTCACATGAAATTAATGAATTGCTATCATATGTGATGATCATTGAGCTGAGCATTGGAATATATTCATTTTAGAGCTCATCAGTAGTTCAGTCATGATTCTCTAATTGAAGTAGTTATGTCAACCCTCTTAGTTGGCTCAAGGTCTTGAGCCCTTTTTTTTTTCTTAAGGAAAAGCTTTTTGTGATAAAATTTATCCTTTTAATTATTTCTAAATATACAATTTAGTGCCATTAGGTGTATTTACAACGTTCTATAAACATTGCCACTGTCTGTTTTCAGATCTTTTTCATCATCCCAAACAACTCTTTGCCCATTGAGCAATAATTCCCCATTCCTCCATTGCCCAGCCTCTAGTATTTTTTTTTTTTTTGCCTCTAGTATTTTTATTCCACTTCCTGTCTCTCTGAGTTTGTCTGTCTAGGTACTTCATAGAAGTGGAATCATATATTTGTTCTTTGTTATCATTTGCATAATGTTTTTCACTTAGCATAATGTTTTTCAGAGTTCATCCATCTTGTAACATGTACCAAAACTTCATTTCTTTTTATGGTTGGGTAATATTTCATTGTATGTATATAGCACATTTTGTTTATCTATACATTTTTTTCCTTAAAGATGTATTTATTTATCTCAGAGAAAAGGGAGAGGGGTAGAAGGCAAGAGAGAGGAAGAGAGAAAGAATCCTAAGTGGACTCCACACTGAGCAGAGCCTGCTGTGGAGCTCAGTTTCACCACCTATGAGATCGTGATCTAAGCTGAAGCAAGAGTCAAATGCTCAACTGACTGAGCCACCCAGGTGGCCCTGATCCATACATTTTTTTGATAGACATTTGAGTTGTTTCCTTTTACCTATCATGAGTAGTGGTGCAATGAACATTGGTGCACAAGTACCTCTTAGAGTCCATGCTATCAATTCCTAGGTATATACCTAAGAGTGGAATTGCTAGATCATATGGTAAATCTATGTTTAACTTTGTGAGGAACTGCCAAAAACTGTTTTCTGCAGTGGCTGATCCATTTTTGCATTCTCATTAACAGTGCACAGGGGTTCTAGTGCTCAGCAACTTTTGTTTTTTCTGTTTTTTGGATAATAGTCATCCTGCTGAGTTTGAAGTTGTATATGACTGTGGTTTTGACTAGCATTTTCCTAATGATTTGTGATGTTAGCCTCTTTTGCAGTCTAGATAGATGAAGGATTATCCAAGTTGTCTGATGCTGATTTTTTTATTTTTAAAGTTCCTTCCTCAATTTATCTCTTTCTCTTGCATTTTACTATAAGCAGCAAGGAGAAACCAGTATATATCTTTAACACTTTGCTTGGAAATCTCCTCAGCTAAATATATAAATTCATTGTTTACAAGTCTTGCTTTTCAACCAATGGTAGAGCACAATTCAGCCAAGTTTTATGCAGCTTTAAAATGAGGATTGCCTTCCCTCTGGTGTCTAATAACATGTCCCTCATTTCCTTCCTGAGGCTTTACCGGAAGTCCTTTAACATTCATGCTTCTACAACATTCTGTTCCTGACCAAAATCTGTAATTGATTTTCTAGAATTTCCGTAACAAAATACTACAAACTTTGTAGCCTAAAACAACAGAAATTTACTTGATCACTCTTGGAAACCAGAAGTTCAAAATCAAGGTGTCAGCAGAGCCTTGTTTGTTCCAAAGGCTCAAGGGAAGAATCCTTCCTTGCTTCTAGCTTTTTATGGCTCCTGTTGGCGCCTTGGCTTGTGGCAGCATAACTCCAACCTTTGCGTCCATTTTCACATTGTCTTTTTTTCTGTATCTCTTTATGTCCTTTTTGGTCTCCTTATTCTAATCCTAATTCTCATTGGATTTAGGGCCTACCTTAATCTAGTATGATCTCATATTGGCCTGTACCTTAACTATATCTGCAAAAACTCCACATCCCAATAAGGTCACATTCTGAGATTCTTGATGGACAGGAATTTAGGGGGGAGGGAGGAACACTACTCAACTCACTACAGTCTCTTTTTAGGTAATTATATTATAAACGTATTATAATCTGTTCATAATTTTTAAAAATAAACATATATAATATTGTGCGATTATTTTTAAATAATTAATACCATTAATGTTAGTATTCATATTAGAGAGTCCTGAATAGGGAAATCACTTTTCTTTTCAGGCTTGACAGTATATATTAGAAGTAAGTAAGTTTATTTCATGTATCTTTGCTTTTTAATGAAAATGTGCACATGCACACACATGAATAAAGAGTACTGAAAGTTCTTTTGACTTTAAAAAGTTTGTTACTCAAGGGTTGGTGGAAAGGAGCGGGGGGTTGGGGTGACGGGCACTGAGGGGGTCACTTGATGGGATGAGCACTGGGTGTTATGCTATATGTTGGCAAATTGAACTCCAATAAAAATAAATTAAAAATAAATAAAAATAAATAAAAATTAAAATAAAATAAAATAAAAATAAAAAAATTAATAAAAATACATAAAAAAATAAAAATAAAGAAATTTTAAAAAATAAAAAGTTTTTTACTCATTATTTATTCAAACTGAGGTGATAGACTCTTAAATCATTTCTTTATTAGAATAGAGGTGCTCTCAAATTGATTGGAATGAGTGTGTGAGGTTAAATTTTCTTGAGATTTTTCAGAGTTTCAAGATTGACTCCAAAATGTTGAGTTCTTCGAATAGTTAATGACTCAGAGGAAAAAAAAATATTTTTACAAGTAGCAACAAGATAATTTAAGTTTATTGAATTTCCAGTCAGGTTAGATTGTTAAGATCAACAACAACAGTGCCTGTGAATGGGTAAAGAGTATATTTAAACAGGCTGCTGCAGAAAAAACTCACTTTTAGGGGTCCTAACATAAAAGAGATAAAGGTGATACAGTCATAAAGGGAAGAGTTTGAATAAAACAAAAATTGAGATTGAAACATATATTAGAAGACAGAGGATAGGCTGATAGAAATAAAAGTATCACAAAAAAGTGAAATGTACACAAGGAAAGGCAAGAAATAGAATAAGAGAAAGTCTTTAAGGAGGGCAAAATATAAGAAATAATTCCATGAATACCTTAATGTTAAAGGGTAGAAGACAGATACATCAGTTTCTTTGACTTCATTAAAATTAATAATACTTATTGGAGAATCACTGTAGTCTTGAGAGCATATTTGTCAAGCTTTTCATATTTTACCAGAAGAAAATAGTAGGAACCATTTTACATATTATTCATTAAATTTCAAATAAATATCATATATTAATAACATATCAGTATATAATAATGTGTATGATATAAACTATATGTAATCATTTCAGGATGAATATTTATGTTTTAATGGCAAATATTTATTTTTCAGTGTAGAGACTGAAATGTTGCATGTAAACATGTATGAAACTGACATCTCAAATAAAAGTGGAGATAAAACTTATTTTTGAAGTAAAATTGACACAGTGTCCTGTTAGTTTCAGGTGTACATCATAGTGATTTGATATTTTTGTACATTATGAAATAAATCTGTCACTAAAGTTACTATAATGTTTTTGACTATGTTCCCTATACTATATATTATATCCCCATGACTTATTTTTTTTATAACAGAAAGTTCATTTTATGTTTGTAAAAAAAACCTTTTTTTCCAGTCAGAGAACGGACCTGGAGCTATTTTAGTTGAATAGGAGCAGGTTTTGACATCCAAGACAGTATCAAACATAGTGTGTTTTTCTTTTTTTTTTTTTTTTCAGTGTGTTTTTCACTTGTTGCCTTTTAACTCATCATGGAGTATTTCTGCAATATCATGTATATTTACTTATAATTAGTAAATATTTGATGAATCAGTTTTAACATCCACATTACACACTACTTCTCTGCTGCCTTTTCATTGTTAAAATTAACCTCAGATATTCATGCTGACATATAGAAATGATGTTATATCCTGTTACTTATGAATTGTTTTGAGTTTGATGTATTAGAACTGCATATGGCTGGCTTATCTCCTTTAAGTCCTTGACCACTGTTCTCTTTAGTTTGGTTGATACATTATATCACCCACTTACTTTCTTCTGTTTAAAGTTTCTGGTAGATAAAAGGACTTTAATATAATTCTGTTTTTTTTTAATTGTTTTATCCAAAGTGTTACTATTTATTTGAATTTATAATCCCATCGACCCACTGAGAGAAATATATATATTAACAACTAAGAGATATTTAATAATATTATATAGTAATTCAACTTAACACGGCTGAGGGAATCCTTTACCTAATATAATTTTGATTTCCTGCTTTAGGAATCCTGAACTCGTGGATTACCCATATATACTCTCAGACATGCTTTAGATGATATTTTCTGGAAGCCTTGCAACTGCCTTAAAAATTGAATGTATTGTAGAACAGACCTATGGTAAGTGTTTTTTTTTTTTTCCTCCTTTTTTTTCTGTCGGTTTCATGTTCATGTTAAGTCTTATGAATGTTGTAATGCTGCTCCCTGCTGGACACAGTGTAATTTTTAAAGTTGGCACTTAATAGATGGGCAAATAACTGGTTAGCTGGATCCACTACAGAGGGTGCATTCATAGGAAAACAATAGTATACAACAGAAGCAACTTTATTATCATAATGAGTGATAGCATTGTGATAGTGTTGATATCTGGAGTATGAGGAAGTTGCTGATGGTCTTGCTTCTAAGTTTCATTGTTTGCTTCATGTATAGTGGCATCTGTAAGTTATAACAAATATATGTTGAAAGATGCTTGTAGGTGTTGGGATTTTCTACATTGTATGTGTATAATGTTTATAACTGAAGCCAGTTTATTATTTTTATTCTTCTTACTGTTAATCTTTTTTTGTAATTTAATTTCCTGTACTTTTGTTTTTCCAAAGGAAACATTTAAAACAGCTCCAGTATAATTTAAATTAGGCATTATTGGATCTGTTTTGAATGAATCACCTTATATTACACTTTATACAGTGGACTTTAAGTGTAACTTGCATTGTATATCCATCCTATAATCCAACTATCATGTTTTCTTGTACAAATAGTGAAAATATTTACAGAGAGCAAAATTGGGCTGGACCTTAAGTATCATGTCTCTGTCCATCCTACCATGAAACCTCACATTGTATGCATACACAGATACTCCCAAAATTGCTAGAAAATGTGACAGTTAAGAGTGTTTTTCTTCTTACTAATGAGCTAAAATATATTTTTTGGAGTGCATCCTATATAAAATTATTACCTAGATATAATGTAAATTCTTTCTGAAAGTAAGCATACATTTCATTGAAAAGAAGAAAAAGTAACAGAAACAACACAGAGTTAAGCAAAGATTTAATAGGATAACTATTCTTGTACTCTTTAATGGGCTGATACTTTTTTTGTAGCTATTGGGAAATATTTGACTGAAATTGACTCTTAATTAGGATCGTGGAGAATTAAGCGTTTATTTCTTTATTATTAAATATTAAAGCACTTATTTCTTATTTCTTCTAAAAATTAGAAATGTAAATAAGTAAATTGTTAGCAAAAAAGAGGAATTCTTTTCCTTCTCTATAAGAATGTATTATTTCAAAAAATATACTATTTTAAACTTATTATAAAGCAACATAATATAGAAACATAAATGTGGGGGTGCCTGGGTGGCTCAGTCAGTTAAGCACCTGCCTTCAGCTCAGCCCAGATTCTGGAGTTCCAGGATCAAACTTTGCATCATCAGGCTCCTCATTCAGCAGGGAGTCTGCTTATCCTTCTGACCTGCCCCCCCCCCTTACTCTCTCACTCTCTCTCAAATAAAGAAAGTCTTCAAGAAAAAAAAAGAAAAATACATAGTAAAAGAAGTAAATATAAAGCAAACATCCATGTAACCATAGATAATTCTGGCATCCCAGAAACCCTTGATACAATCTCCTTTTTGTTCAGAAGTAACCAATGTCCTGACTTTTATGGTAATTATTTATATAATTCTCTATATAATTTTTATCATTTTTATGTGTATTTCTCAGCAGCATGTTCACTTTTTCTCTTAATTTTTATGGAATTTTTGTAAACAATTTAATATTTTTATTGGTAATGTTTTTGTTATTTTGGGGAAGGGTATAAAGAATTAAAGATATCAATGTAAAGTCAGAGAGGACTCTCTTTATTGTACTGGGGAGCTTAGGGACAGGAGGAGTTCTAAAACATTTAGATGTAACATTAATTAGGGTGGGATCAAGTTGCCAGGGGACAGGGTAAGTGGGAGGCTTGAAAGATGGTTAGGAAGGGACAGCATTCTTCAGGAAAGGGTATAGGCTAGGGGTGGAGGTATTACACTAATAGGAACTGTCATAATGCAGTTAGAGAACATGGGAAAACAGGTGAATTATCTAGTGTGCACTGCTTGCAGGACCCGAAACCTGATACAGTGCTTGCATTGTGTTTCTTGGAACAAGTCTAGGGACAGAAGCTCAGAACCCCTATCAGTAGAGATGGAGGCCACCTTGGTGCTGACGCTGCCACTGCTTAGCAGGGTGAGGAAATTCCCAGGAACATATGGCCCAGGCTTTGCAGCAACATGGAGGTCCAACTGGAGCAGCTCCCTGAATACTTTGGACCAAGTCCTTGAGAGTCACAGCTCAATGGAGTACAGCTTATAGGATGTGGCTTTGATGTTAGGCTGCCAAAGAAGTTCCAAGGATTTTACTTGTGTATGTTGAAGGTGATGAGGGTGATGTCCTTTTTGTGCTTGGTGTTCTCCTGACCTGGGTCACATCACAGCACACATTCCTGCTGGGGTCCAGCTTTTTCCAAACTCCAGCACCTCAGGCATGTGTCATCTTCCAGCAGCTGGAAGAAGTCTTTGTTCTCCATTGAGGCATGAAGAGGACGGGTCCTCTTCTAGCACCAGTGTTAGCACTCTAGTCAGCTGCAAGGTCTCCATTGCCTTGTTTAGCCATTTTTGCAGGTGTCAGCTTTGATTGCAGAGACAGAAAGATGGCTGGGGGTGGTAGAGCTGAGGTCTGGACCTATGGCTAAACCAAGAGCTCATGGTGGATACTGACAAAAGATTGGCGACTGTGATTGCCTTCATGCTTTCCTTCAGGATTTGCTTGCCTGCCTCACCATGATCCTGATATGGCTATGGGGTGCCCAGTGGGGTATCAGGCAGCATGGGACATGGGTGGGTCAGCTGGTAGTGCCATTGTCTGGAATCATATGTATTCTTTCTTCCTTTATTTATTGTTCTGCTTTGTAGATCGCTTATGTAGTTGCAGGTAATAATCATTCCTTTTCATCATTTTATGTTAACTCCTTTGGAATGACTATGACAGAATTCATTCATGCTCTTGTTGGTGGATATTTGGGTTATTTCTAGTATGTGGCTATTATAAATGAAATTGCCATGAATATTCTTTTACATATCATATATTGTTTTTTATGTGTATCAGATAGAAAAAGTCATATATTTTCAAGTTAAAGATAATTCATTATATGGTATTTTAAATTAATTTAACTGAGTACATGAGAAATTTGTTGTATCTTGAGAATAACACATATTCAATATTGGAAAAGATTCTGAAATGATTATAATTTCTTTTACTTTAGGCCTTAAATGTATAGTAAAGTAGCATATAGTTTGTGATAGTTTCAAAACAGTATGTATATAGATAGATGTATAGGTATAGTAAAGAAATAGATGATAAGACTTAAGGTAGTAACTCTGTGGTTTACTTTATTAGTAAATTCATTCTGTTAACATGCCATATTTTGTATAACTCCTTCACTTTACTGATGAAGAAACTAAGGAGGGCTAGAGAGATTGAGTCACTTGGACAAAGTCATTTAGCAAGTTGGAGCTAGAAACCAGATCAACCTGTCTACTTAGCAGTCACAATGTAAAGAAAACAAAGTGAAAAGTGAAATCAGGATTTTTTTTTTTTTAGTGTATCCAGCCATTTAAGTGGAAAATTTGCTTGACTAGCTTTCAGAAATTATCAGATATCCTTTTGACTGTTAACCAAACATTGTCTTAGGACAGGGAATTCCATGTTTGAAGCCCCCAAAATGTTACCACACTTTATCATAGTTCATCTTCTGAAAGATGGCCATAGTATAGTCTAACCTTGGGAATTTTACTTTGAGTGATTCCTCGTTCATTAGACATCAATAACAAATGGTGTATTTCTCATCTGTTAATTTTGTGGATAATTGAGTCTTATCCTTTTGTGTGCCAAAACTTGTTTTGTATGAACATTTTTTCAAAATGTTTTTATAATATAAAATTTACCCTTCTGTTAAACAGAACAAATGGAGTATAATTTAAGGTTATTTAAATTTTTTTGCTTGTTGTCAGAGTTGTCATAGTGAAACATCAGTCACTTGACAGAATTTAAGTGATTTCCTCAGAGACTTTTTGCTGTTCTCCTATATTGTTCTTAACTGATAAGTTTTATGTCCTGGGACCTTCTTGTGATGTGTGGTGTTTGTTTTGTTTTGTTTTACCTTTGTTGTCTTTTGCTGTCAGTGCAATAGAGTGTTATTGACTCTAATATTAAAATCAGCATTTGGGATCCCTGGGTGGCGCAGCGGTTTGGCGCCTGCCTTTGACCCAGGGCGTGATCCTGGAGACCCGGGATCAAATCCCACGTCGGGCTCCCGGTGCATGGAGCCTGCTTCTCCCTCTGCCTGTGTCTCTGCCTCTCTCTCTGTGTGTGTGTGTGACTATCATAAATAAATAAAAATTTATTTAAAAAAAATAAATATATAAATAAAATCAGCATTTGCCTAACATACATTGTTTAGGTGAGAGCTTACGTATGGTTCTGTGCCATCTACTGACTAACGGCACAGAAGGTGTGGCAGGTTTTAAAAATTTGACTGTGGGTTCATCAACTAAGCTAACCACTTTGTTTCAGAGGACTGAGATTATCTGACCGCTGATTTCTGAATAATTGAGATGCAGCATAGATCGCATATACCAGTGCATCCTTATTCGGGTAATAAAAATTATCATGCACAGATTTTCTTAAAACTGGAGTTGCTTAAGGATTTCTTCAAATGGGAAAGTCCAATTGACAAAAGTGGGTGTTTTCTAATTATAAAATAGTTGATAGGATTGGCATTGAAATTAAAAAAAATGTATTAGGTGACACAGCCATTTGAGAATGGCAGTCATAAAAATTAAACCACCTTTGAAATGACAGCTTTTTCAAGGACAATATAGAAGTAACACAGATTTGGTTTCAGGAAAACTATTCATTTCAAAGTGAAATGCATTTGATTACTTATGCAATTATAAACTACTGAATGTGAATTAAAAATACTAGGGTAGGAGAGTATATTTGTTTTTATTTGTTTTTATTTTTATTTTTTTTAAAGAGTTTATTATTCATGAGAGACACAGAGAAAGAGAAAGAGAGAGAGGC